AGGAATAATATATACTTTATTGTCAAAAAGATGTCAAATAGCAAATGAAATTCAAAAAAGATGAAAAAATTGGATTATACCAAAAGAAGTTAATATTCAAAAAGTAAAAACAATAACAACAATGTTGTGTTCTATAATTTTAACGACATGCTTTACCAATACACAATTTTGGCTTACTCAATCACTTGCAAGTTTATGTAGAAAGCTGATATTATTATCATCATTATATCAAGTATTAGAATCTGTTAGTGTTGTATTACACTCAATTAAACATGAAAGAAAATTAGAAGTTATAAGAATGTCAAATGCTAATTCATATTCATATTTAATAAGTGGTTCAGGAGTTTAGAATGTATGCATTATTGACAACATTGATTTTAAACAAAATCTTTTGCATAGGGAAATATTTATGATGTAACAAGATCTACAACTCATGCTATATTACGTCTTGTATTTCAATTTACTCTTCTATTTGATATATCACTTATAATAGATGAAACAATCGAATTAAATAAAAACAGTCGAAATAAAGATGCAGATGATGTAATGCAATCTTTGGGAAATATAATTCAACAATTTTTAGCTTTTGAAAATAATTATGATGGTAGTTTTACTTTTGCTTAAAATTTTAATTTAGAAATTATTAATAAAAAGATTACTGAAATATATAATATTGATGTACCGTGTTTACCACTTGTAAATATAGTAATACTTGAGGCTGGTGATAATCCAAATAATAGCGATGATGTTAACAAATTATTATTTTAAAGATTTAAATATACCAGAGAATGAAAGCATATATATATGTTGTTATGAAGCTATATTTTGTCGAGTCATGTAGTATCATATTGTCAATCATAAAGTTCGACCACTTCTTGGACAATGATATACTAGTAAAGACATGTATAGTGCTTTATTAGTAACATTTTCTAGTTATAGAATTTATAATATTGTGGCTAAGCTTGGAGTTAAATTTTTGGATAAATTGGAACAAGTGGCTGATTATAGACCAATATGTCGAGTACTTGATCTTATTTGGGATGCTGTTGGTTGTGCTTTATACATTTATACTAAAAAAAATAATATTAATTTTGATGCTATAATGGAAAAAGATAATGATTTAGTTAAAGTATAGTATTGTTTTTTTGAATGGAGTAGTTATTGGAAAGGGCATAGAATAGGCATACGAATTGGAAGTGCCTTAATACAGCTTAAATGTTTAGAAGCTTTTGCTCCCTTGTTTTCAACAGCAGAAAAAATAATTATATGAGATCTGTTATACATTACTTATCAATAGTAGCTAAATATCCTTGTTTACAAAAATTATTGTCCTATATAGGATCGGTAAATCTTACTCGTGATGGTCATTATTATGCTTTTGATAAAGCATTAGAGACATTTAGCGTAAAATTTATTAAGCAAAATATTACTGGTAATATTTGTGATAATGAAACTTTAAAAAGACAAATAAAAGTATCTCAGGCTGAACGTAAACGAATGGATTTACTTATTAGTGAATTTACAAATGATATAACTATATCACAAACTGAACATGCAGTAAATAGCAGACAAGAGGAATTATGGTTGTTAATTAATTCTTTAGTTGATGCTTTTGAAAGTCAAATATCAACAAATCATTTATTGTTTAAAAACTGTAATGAATTAACATCCACCAGCTGTAAAAAGCTTATTGAAAGTTATAAATTAGGAAAGAAAGATTAATGCAAATTTATCAATAAGAGGTATTATATATAGAACTAATTAATACAAAGGGTCGAAGAGCTAAAGGAATAGTAATTACAAAAGTTAAAGATATTCAAGAAACAAATCGAACAAATAAAAGACGTAATCAAGCAGGAAGTATATCAACTACATCACAACCAGATTTATTAAAGAATTTTGTATTAAATCCACAACCCATCTTATCTGAATCTCAAAATACTTTAACAACTATAAATAATAAACGTCTTACAAAAGAACACGTCATATTAACACAATCGAGAAAACAGAAATTCTTACTCTATATTTAGCTAATACAAATCCCATAGATAATGATACGAATTTAACATTAACTGCTTTATTACGTATTTTTAATCATTGGACTAAGAAAAAAGTTAGAGATGCATGGCATAATAACAAAAAAAAAACTAATAAAAAATAATACAATTATGTAATTAATTTTTTGCATAATAAATTCTTTAACTCTTTTATTTGCTATTTTTTTTTTTTTTTATATATATAATAATAAAATATTAAATTATCAAATAAAATAAATATTTACCGCTTAATGGCTACTTATTTAAACAACATAATTACATCGTTTCTTTGCTAAATATATTTAAAATGAAACATTTGTTAGTAAAAAGGTTTTCTCATAAAATAAAATATAATTCCTTTTAATAAGAAATCATTTTTTTGCATTTTATATAAAAACCATCTAAATAACTACCTTTATAACCTAAAAAAATCTTTTTTCTCTTATTGAATTATATATAATTTTACTATCAACTTATATATTTATCTTTACCTTTAAAAAAGATCTTGAAAAAAGCTTATTTTAAAGCGGATTTTTTTTTATAAGTAAAGAAAAAAAGGAGGTTATTACAAAGAAAAAAAATTGTTAAAAATTAATAAAACACGTGATATTTTATTGATTGGCTTAATTTTATATAGCATAGTATTGGAATTTTTGAAGGTTAACATACTGAGTGAACTTTTCGATTATGGTTACACAAAATTAATTTAATATGAATATGATTTTCGATCGACATGCGTCATGTATGTTAATCTTAAAAATGTAGTCAATATCTCCAAAAATTAGGCGATACGATCAGTCATGTGACTTTGAAAAGTACATCGTAATCCAATTGGTCATTCTTTTTATATTTTCACGTCAAAGCAACGCTAATTTTAACAATTTTTTTCTAAATGTCTGAAGTTAATTATATGAATTATTTCACGAAAAAACATTTAGACTGGGATGTTATTGATTTTTTAGAAAAATGCGATCTTGAACCGTTCGATAAGAAAGTAAATCAATATATCAGGTGCCTCGACTTTATAGCTGATGACAAAGACGAGCAAGTATGCAGAAGGAGAAAGGCTGATGCTCTTCTTAAGAGATATAGGAACGTAAGGATTTTTTTTAAGAAATGGGAACGAAAAATAAGTGGCGTGGCAGGGGTCCAGGATTACTCGGCTCTTGTCATTCAAGGCCGATATATATGTATATTCGCTGAGCCACAAAACCAATGCGGGGCACTAATAGCCCAGTTGCTAACCCAATCCGGCTATTTGATGTTCAAGGCCAAGTGCTTATAAGCACCTCGCTGACCTAGTGGGATGGAATCAGATGGGAGTGACATTGCTAGTTAAGAATATCACTAACTCGAGTCTTCTTTGCTAGGGTTCTAAACCTGACCAAAAACGTGCCAAAGATTGGGAACAGAAACGCAAATCAAGCGTAACAGGTGGTGGTTCCTCAATCATCATCCACAATTCGACACTATCAGGGAACTCGTTGTCGGGAAACTCTTTAGGAATTGGTTCCATTGCTAGAAGCTCTGTTAATGAAACGGTACAGATGGGTTACTTTTAGTCGGAAAGTTGGAAAATGGCAAAACTAATTATTTTATGTTGCAGAAAAAACAGGCCGTCCAACTTTTAATGTTCAAGCCCCGCGAACGCCCGAATATCAAATGTTATCTTCAAGTTCCTCTGTTCCCTTAACCATAAGAAACGAAAGTGACGAAGAAACAGACACAGACAGTGATGGGACAAGCGAGATCTTAAGAATCTTACGTTTGATGAGTACGTGGATGGTGACGCTGTGCGTGTAGATGGTGGTGACGATGAAGAGACTCCTGATTACAATGATGATGAGGTCAATGTGGAAGCTGAACAGGACAAGCAGGGAAGCAGGTTAATTATCGAAGAAATAAATAAGATGAAAGCAGAATACTCAGAAAGATACCATAAGATACGTCCAGAGAACAAATGGAAGTTACCTTCTGGAAAGTTTGCAGAGGATATTTTCTACGAGTACACACTAAATTTAGAATACGAAAGGTAAATAATTTAAGCTAAAGTAATGTACAGAGTTTATTATACTGTAATCACAACTAATCTATAAAGTTTTGCTATCAGCTACCTTGCACAGCTTTATAATTGATACAAGCGATGAGACGATTATGAATCTTTTCAATGATATTGACAGGCATCACATTAATACATATAATATCCTTCCGGAACCACAAGTGGATGATAAATTACTAGACTTTCTTTTACGCTACCGAGAAGTGAGTATTATCAATTACTATTACTATCTGCGTAGCGATATTAATCATTATGTTACAATCGTGTCCTCTAGAAAACCCCTCAAGGTCTACGTAAGTTAATCAATGCTGGTATCGATTTACCTTCTTATGACTCGCAGAGAGATTTCGACTATCACTACATACACGAAGTTTTCTCTCATTTGTGAGTAATTGATAGCATTTTGCGAGTATCTTTACATTATCTAACCAAAATTTGTTATTACAGGCTTCCACGATATGAACTTAGGCCTAATGACTATACTAATTCACACTTAGAGGGCTGGTTCAAGACAAATATCTGGAGCGTAATAGTAGACTGTTGTCTTTTAGATGTGGTGAATTCAGAATTCATACGGTAAGTGTGCTTATTGGATATAGAGATATAAAATTTTTTAATGAAATTTCCATTTCTTTTAGTGGTGAAGGTTGCTCTCGCGCTTCAGGGCAACGAAAAAATAAGGGAAGAAAAAGTTCGGAAGTTAGAAAGATTCTTGGCCGTAAGTGTGATGGAATATTACGGGAATTAGGGACACCAGATGAGTTTGCAATAAGCGAAGAAGGTAGATTATGGGATGGAGAAGACGGAACGAAGTACTTGAGTGATGGATTAAGGAAACTACCAAAAACGATGCGAGATACGCTAGCCCAAAAAGTAAAAAAGTTCAAACTTAGTTCCGTAATATCTCACCAACTAGAAATTGTAGGCTTCCTTCACTCCGGTAAAATACTGTACCTCTTATTTGAATAGTATCTTTTAAGAGTTTTATCTTTTCTCTTCTAATAAATATTCTTTTATTTATTATTATTCCAGGTCAATATCTCCAGCAGTTAGTCATGGACATTCCATGTGGATCTATTTGTCGACTACGCAGATATCCTTCTACAAAAATTCCGGCAAAATTGGATGAGATAGATGAACTAATTACCATGGTGAACGATATGCTAGTTGCGAAGGTATTCTCAATTCAATTTTGATTCATCAATTAATAACTTATATCTAATATAATTTATTTTTATTTAGTTACGTATCAGAAGATGTTTTGAATCTATAAATAACATAGATTCTTCTAGTAATGAAGGGTTAAAGAGGCGGTTGAAGAACCGAAAAGAAATTAAATCAGAGGCGGATAACCTCCCTGATACACAAAAAACTCCGAAAAAAAAAAAATTAAGGAAAAATTAGTTGGTTATACGAAATCGAAATTTAAGTATCCATGATGTAATGAGTATCAATATCACGATTTCAAGGTTTATAACTAATAAAAGCATTTAATAAAGTTTCATTATTTTTTAACATGCATGTGCTTGAGTGTATATGTGAGAAGGCGGGTTTTGAAATCGAAACAATTAAGGCTACTGTGCCAAAATTCACTCAAATATGACCGCCATGGTCACAGCTACCGAAAATTTTCCGATTTTGATGAATATCAAATTTTTACTCAACTGTGACCACCTTGGTCACACTTGCCGAAGTTTTTCCATGTTTTAACATTATCTAGTCATGTATGCTTATCGTTTCTACAAATAAAATCAATGTATACACTTATCAATTATTTTTAAATCCTATAAATGATGAACTGCTACCTTCTATTCTCCTGCAGATCAAAGGCGAGATCTGATTGGCTGATCTGTAACTCTTCGTGATTTAAGTTTCGAGGATCTCGTGTGATACGAATTTTTTAATTTAGCCGTTATATTGTCTCGGATCTAATTTAGCCAAATCGGCCGGGGTGATGTCGCCTGTTAATCACGAGAAAAAATATGAATCTGTTTTCACCCAAATAATCGAATAAAAATGAATATGATATTTTATTATAATATACTTGCTATAAATTGCTATAAGTCTTTAAAACCGCTATAAATCATCAAATTCACTATAAATTGCTATAAACTCCCTATATTCATAAAATGGCTAAATCCAACAACTATAATGGCTTGAATCCTGTAGTAGTGCAGGCGCTAAACAATCTGCAATATAGGTATAGTGATGAAACACCAGAAATGTGGTGTTCTCGTGTTTGTTATCCATTTAGGACACTTCTCGAAAATAACCCAAAATACTTTTTGAAGAATGGATTTATTCAAATGATTGAAAGAGAATATATAGATGGGGAATTTAAAGCTGGGAGACGCTCATTTCATATTTATTGCACTGTATGCGACTCCTTGGTAATTATCCATGAAAATACTATTGAATGTGCAAATAAACATCTGAAGAAGTGTATTGCTAAAACAGCCAAAAGGCATATTGTATATTCTAATCCTATACAGAAAAATGTGAAAAAAGAGTACTTTGCTAACAATATAGATTTTTTTGATAACCATATAACAATCATATTGTAATCATATTTTATATTAATTAAC